ATTCTGTGATTCTATGATTCTATGAAATAGTTGAGCATTATGTCAGCTATTAAGTCTGCATTTTTATATAAGGTTAAAAAAAATTGTTTCTTATTGAGGATTCAGATAGTTCCTGAAGAGGATAGTGGTTATTAGACAGACTCTGCTCTTCAAATTACTAAGTATGGTCTACTGAAGCTTTGAAATAGAAGTATCTTCGTATTCATGGTGGTGACCAATAGTATGTTAATAATCCTGAGTAAATTATTGGGAATTCTCTGTAGAAAAGGAAGAAAATTAAACAATGAATGTCTAGTTCTATAGTTTTTTTGGCCTTAAGTGTTTTAGTTCTGTAAATTTCTTACTTGAACAGATCAATAAAATTGATTGCTAAGTTTGTAGTGATGCTACTAAAAATCGTAGGAGCACCTGAATTTTGTTTCAAATCGCAACATTCTAAAAATCTAACCTTCTGACAACACAAGGCATAGACATCCTTTAGAAGACAAACTGCAAGAGGCACATGCCATCATGTCATGGAAGTGCTTGCAGTGTCATCTGCACATCTGAGTTACGAAGGAAGGTATCATTGTAAACTAAGAAAAGAGAAGGAAACAGACAGAGGTTGTCTGTCCCAAATACATTTTTCCGCCCCGATTTCTGAGAGCTTGTCACAGGTAGCATCTGTGATGAATATGAAAGAACAGGTGTATTCTACCAAAATAACATACTACAGAAAATACAGACACGGGAGGATTTTTAAGATCTATTTTTATGGCAGTTCTTCATTGCGACTTGCAAGCGACAAACCCATGCTAGCTTATATTTCATACCTTTTTAAAAATTTCTCACTACTGTCAACATTCAGTACTACCAGGTGATTTTGCATCTTTTTTACTGCAAGACAGACTGGAATTCTTGTAATAAACCAGTCATAACAGAAGAGCTGAAGTGTGTGACATTTTTATTCTGCCTTCTAAATGCCTGCAGTAGTCAGTGTTAAGAGCTATGCTAAATGTCAACCCAAACCAGTGCTGGAGGCTCTGGATGGATACAGCCAGGGTCATCCGCCATTTCCAATATATGTATAATAAAGCACACAAATAGCAAAGCTAGCAGAACTACAGTCATGGTTTTTTAATAAATGTGGTTTTAATTTCCAGATAACAAAAAAAAACCCACATGGGCAGAAGCATCTATTATATACTTGCCTCAAATCTTTGAAATGTTGTCATACGAAATTCTCCTTTAATCCCCGAAAGCAGTAATGAAGAAGAAGGATTTTGAATGAAAAGAAAGAGTTGCTTATGTAACTCCTAAGTTAAAACAAGTCTTCCTCTTGGAGCTGTAGTTCCTGTACTATGTTCAATATGTATATACCTGGAGTTTTGCCTAAATACCTCTTTGAATATTCAAAAATTATACTTTGGCCTCTACATTTTCCTTGTATGATTCTTATCCCCTTTCACATGGCTATGGCTGTAGCTTTTTCTCAGACCTGATATGCTAACTAGAGAGAACAATCAGCCTTAGTCGATACTCTGATGGGATCATTCACGACCTCAATACATTAGGATTTGTGAAAATGATGTAAAAATGAAGACACGGGAAACCAGCAGCATGGGTATTTGCCTCACCACAGATTCCCCAATATCAACTCTATGTTTAGTAACAGCAATAAAAAGCTCGTTCTTCAGAGCTTAACTAGTATTGGTGGGAATTAGAAATTTTGATTTCCTATCAAGTTTTAGAGAATCTGAAGAATGTAACTGCATTTGGGAATCTGGCTGTAGCATCATGTCGTAATAGAAAATTATTTACATGAGGAGGTTTCCAGCTTAGCTGTACCAGATTCCAGTGTCTCATGCCGAGTCCTAAAGTAGCATCTCTCCTACTTGTTCAATCAATCCCATCCCAAAATTTTCATTGATCTATCAAAAAAATTCTGGAATGACAATGCTGTAATACTTCACTATATTTGAAAATGGTTTCCACTGTCCATAGACTGTATGCATTTTGACTACTGATTCCTTTGCACTGGTCACTTAATAGTTACAGTATTTTCCCAGTACTGACCTGCACTCTGCTGCTGTGGAATCTGAGTCTGATGTTGCAGGTTCCTACAAAAAACAACTGAATATCTTTAATGCTTCCAAACAAACTCTGAAGTACGTTACACATAAAAGTTCAGTATTTAAAATTTGGGGTTTTGCTTACAAAGCAATAATCCACTTTCACTATGCAAATACAGTTGTCAAAAGGTTAGCCAAGTCAATGAAAGAAAGAAAATGAGTGTTATGGGGTAGTTCCTATTATTTTACTTGTCAAGTAGGTTCAAAGGTTCAGACTTGGTGAAACGCCAGAGGTAACAAGTATCACGGGAGGTTTCTGATGTTATGCAAAGTTTGGTTTCCATAAGTGATGAATAGAGAAAAGGTGACAGTCTTTGCAACTGAATTATTGACTCTGGAATGAATGAATGTTCAACTAGTTTTATACATCAGACCAGTTCACTTTATCGAGGCAGAGTTACATTTCTGTGTCCCGGTTAAGTGCCTATTTTAACAGCTACCAGATACTAAGGTTGTTTTTACAGAAAGGAATTAGGGGTTGGAATGTAGGTGAAGCAGATAGATACTCTATGTACAACTTAAGAAAGCCTTTGGTACAGGCTTTGGCACCCCAGTCAAAAAATTGCTATTCTGAATAGAGAAGAAACTGTAGAAGCCAGGGTAGAGCACTTTGCAGCAATTGTACAAGAGATAATTTATACAGCTGTACTTTCTGGGGAATTTAGCTTTGGGACAGGGAGAAGAAAACACTCTTCTAGCATGTATCTACATTATGAAGGGAACTCAGGGCAAGCATGTGTAAATCAGGGCCAAGTTAGTGCTGGCACTGGAGCATGCAGGCCTGCCAGCTGAGGAGCTACCGACTGGAGCTAGTGTCATAGCACAGCACTGAAAAACAACGCCAGCCACTCCTGAGACCACTGCCTCAGATCTGCTCAGCCCCAGACACCTCAACCAAACCTTTCTAGAAATGCCTTTTTTCCACAGCTCAACCGACTTGCCTGAATTAGAACATGCGCAAAGCACTAGATGGGTCTGTCTCGATAGTTTCATTAACTTACTGATAAATTAACTTGAAGGGATAGAAATGAATACTTTTCTGGTTTCTGTGTTGGAGAGAGGCTGGCAACAACAGAAACGGCTGAGAGCTGTGAGTGTTTTCATTGGCAAGTCTGTATTTATTATCTGTGCAATGGAATATGCTCTTCTGTTCAATGTTAACATTTCAAACATAAACCATGTGTGACGGGTAAATGACTAACTACTTGCAAAGTCTGGATTTTCTGGTATGAAACTACCACCAACCCGGTGGTAGTTTTATATCAGAACTCCAAAGACATGGGTTAAAAGGCAGGGTGTCTAAAATAGAACAGTTTTAATTCTCTGTCAAAAGATTGATTCCTCTGTCAAAAGTAGTTTTTCTCCAAAATATGCAGAAATGTAACTGTTCCATGCAAAGCTCCTTGCCAACTCTGCAGGCTGAAACCCAGCCATTTAATTTTATAACAGAAATCTTTCTGCTTGAAATGCAAACATCAGAGCAATCCTGAACGAGAGAGTCATTACTGACACCTCCATAATAAACAAATTTCAGATGACAAGCACTGAAGTCCATAGTTAAATCGTGCAACATAGTGAGTATTAAAAAATAAAATAAAATCTAAATACTCACTGCTGTGTTTGCATCAGTGGCATACTGGTATTATCGTAGCTGTCTGTGTGAAGGGGTGGCACAATCTCACCAGTAACTGGGTTAAACACAGGAAGCGTTGAAAGAGGCCATGCTATCTCTCTATTTTTAGACATGTCACGAAGCTCTTTGGTTGATTTCTGTATAGCACTGTGGTGGACCAACTGGATGCTATGTCAAAAGGAAATAAAATAGTAAATACATATTTTAAGTGCTCTATCAAAATGGATAGACTTTTACAATTATTATTTTTCTTAAAAATACAAGGACTTTGATGCATGCTACAGACTTTATAGTGCAGCAACTACAGTAAACCTTTACATAGTTAATTTAATAAATATTGGATTTATTTAATTTTTAAATAGTAATTATTCCATTAGATTTTACTATCTGGATAAGTACATCCTATATATAGGATCCAAGACTGTGCAATTTATGGCTAATGTTCCATTTACCTGCTGCAGTTAAAATAAAACTTTTGGTTAACTCCTGATTCTTGTGGTAGATTCATAAAAACTCATAGATTAATTTTAAAACACTCCATAATACAGGCACTGGATGCCTTCCAGGATATTTGTTCTCCTGTCCACTGCCTTTAAGATATAGGCTGGGAAGTTCAATAACCAGGAGTATAAGTTACATATTAACATATTTATTCTAACAGCACTATTTTATTTTGAATTGACAGTTGTTAATTTCAAACCCTTTTTATTCTGGTCTTCTATCCTTGCCAAGACTCTGATTTAAAAGCAGCTTTCATATTTATGAATTAAACCATGGATTAGAGAGAATGGAAGAAGATTATGACACACGTGTATGAAGCATGACAAGCTACTGAGAATGAAAATTAAATGGCAAAAGAAAAATAACAGGAAAAAAGACACTTACTCTGGTGTTTGCATGTTTCTCTTTTCCCTAAAAACAAAACAAAATTTATGAATTAAATAATAGCATTGATAGTTGGAACATTAAATCTATCTGATGATGAAAATAGTACATGATGTAGAAATGCTGACAAGGTTATTGCTAAATGCAACTTGGCAGCATTCGCAACTGGGTTTATGATGAGGCCTTGATGAACGCACGTATAGAGATGTGATACTGATGACAGACACACACACAGACACACACACACAGAGAAATGAAAATGCAAGTTAAAGAACAAGCTTCTGGCTAAAATAAATTCTGTGACAAAATGAAATTGTAGTTTGTGTAAGAAATGGCGTAAGAAATTACGTTACTTGCTGCTTTCCTTTTATGTGTTTTTCTTTTATAATATGTCTAAATTCAGTTCATATCCTCAACCAGATTTATTTTATAAAAGCTAGCATTTTAGAAATTACTTAATATTTTCCTGAATCAGTGATCCTTTATTAGCGTTTTATTTGTTTGGGGCATTTTGGAGAGTTGTGCGTATGTGGAGATTTTGTGGAGTTTTGTGCATATGTTGAGATTTTTAACCCTTTCAGCTAGAACAGTTAAAGGCCCTATATCCATTTTCTTGGAAATTACTGTATGTACTTAGATGAGAAATAGTTCAATATTTCAAGCAGGTATCTTTTGGCCTCTTTTAAATGTTTTTAATGAACTGAATGGAATTCCTCTAACAAATAATCTTCTATGCATTATAATCTTAGAAAAATCTACAATTACTTATTAGTGTGTTAAAGTACTCACACTCCTTCCCGTCGGCAGCACATGATATAGGCAAGTATTAGAAAAAGCACCAGTGCTATTGCCGAGGGCACTGCCAGTGTAATTAGGAAATCCGAGTAATAGTCTCTGCTTTTCAGTGTATCAGAAGGTGGCTTGTATTCTCCACCATCAGGTAATATTCCCTCTCCACGAATCACTTCCTGAAAGGTGGAAACTTGTTTTGTATTGTCAACCTGATACCCAGAAAAAAAAGAAAGAAGAAAAAAAAAGACAATTATATAACAAAGTAATAGAGTGTAAAAACAGGCAGTATTTAACCAGCCATAACATATAAAAGAATCCATATTACACATTTGATGAATTCTATACAATTTCATCCAATCACTTTTTTTTAATCAATAAAACTTTACATTTCGTTGAAAGCTTCCCATCAACGTGTTAAGTAATATCACTTTATTACTTTATCACATTATCACATTATTACTTTATTTTATGCCTACCAGAGATGCTATGGTTTTTACTGATTAATTTTAGGGATACCTCACACAAATAGTGTTTGAGTAAAAATTCAGTAAACATATTTATTGCAAACCAATCATTTGATACTGATTTCTGTTTGATGAATTAATCCATTCCTTACTAGTCTCCCTAAATAACAATACTGCCCTCTCTTGTATGAAGGTGGTAGAGATGAAGAGTGGAGTACCTATGGATTTTCTTCTTCCTCCTTCCTACTGAGCCTTGCATCCAGAGCTCAAAAAAGCAAGAAGCATGAACCGAGCTGCTGAGGACTGAGCAGCTCTATTGCCTCCCCCATCCATGCGATGCAGGAAGCACCCCGACATGAGATGTGCATTCCATTGATCAGAGCCAGAGTTCCAAGGTTTTTCTACCTCCTAATTCAACTAACCTCCAGAAGGCTGCATTCCTGGTCACAAGTAATTTTTTATTTATTTTTTTATTCCTGCATCTAGTGTTCCTAGAAATACAACCTTTTTTTGCTACTGAATTTCCTATTGCAATTTAATTGACTGCCTTTCCCATGTGACTCTTCCATTTTCTGCCTGCATTTTCTTGTTATCTTCAGTTAGATATTACTGTTAAATTTTATCAGTGTTAGTTTTAAAACTCTCTCCCGATCAGTAATGAAAATATATTTGCCTATATGCTTAGCCTTTTGACTGACTGCTCATTGAGAAATCTTGCAAGTGATGGTCATTTCTTTATAATTTACACTTTAAGTCATGAAATGCTGTATTAAAACTTATGCAATGGATGAACAGGTCTTCACGGAATGCTAGAAATAATGTTATGTTCAGCTTCAGATGCATACACATGTATATAGATACTTATTTTTTAAGTGCAAGACAGTTTGACAAAAATTAATTCATGTATTCTTCACTCATTAAATTCTGCAGAATTATTTTGTTCTGAATTCTACATGGCTGCTAAACTGAATCTCAAGCCCTAAGCAGATGCATAAAAAAGATGTATGCAGCTACTGATGTGACTGACAAAAGCCCATACACAGTGTGAGAACAAGCTATCAGAAAGTAGCGTTAAAAGGAAAATGTATTAAGTTGTCCCTCTTTTCAGTATTTGGGACCCACAAGCTTAAATCTACTCTTTGATTCAGGCGCTAACCGCCAACATGACCTCATAAAAACTGGGAGGAAGAGGATATGATGGTTGTATTTTCACTCACTGGTCTCTGTTGCGGTTATGGGAAACAGAGCTCAACTCCCTCCCAATCCATGGATCTTGGGGGACTTCCTACCCCTTGGCTTGCCTTGTGAAAAGCAGACTGTGATTAGATACAGGGAAGCTGGGGTCTGTTTTCCCTTTGATCCACCAGGTTACAGCATGCAGCAGCAATGCTATTGGCAACAGTAAACCCCCGTAAGACTGTTTAAATTCAGTTATCATGGCATGCTGCCAAAACAAGTGCCAAGTTCAAGAATGTTGGGTTATAGGCTGCTGTAGAAAATTATGCTTCTCTTTGAGAGCCTGTTCCTGTTACACAATCTCTGCTTTTCTCAAAACAGCACAACAACACTACTTCATGATTAGTTTACGAGCCACTGTTACTATTGGACGTTTTTTCTGGAGAAGTACTCCTAACCGGCTGCTCTTCATTCTGCATGGGTACTGTTGATTATTCTTGCATTAGTGCACTATTCCTCTGCTGCTCCTTTGGAAATTCACTCTGTATTCCAAGGCTGATTCTCCAATTTCTCAAGACCTTTCTCAATTCTATCCTGTCCTTCAATGCACCTGCAGATCCTTTCAGTTTCATGGGGCCTGCAAATTTAATTTAATAAGCACATTCCATCATCCAGCTTATTCGTGAAGAATGGCAAGGAATTATTAATAATTCTGCTATGATTATGGCTATCCAACCTGCTCTCCACTAGGTCCTAGCTTCATTTAGGCCATGTTCCTGAGCTTGCTTATGAGACAGTATCAAAAAACCTTACCAAAATGAAATTACATCTGCTGCTGCACCTCTGTTCTACTTCTTTCTTGTAGAAGGAAATCAAATACTTGACATAGTTTGTTCTTGACAAAGGCTGACTGCCTTCTACTATTTTTCAGGTGCTAGTAAGTATTGCTGTGTACACATGTACCTTTTGCAACTTCTCAACAGAAAGCCAATAAACAGTAAATAATCTGGATATTCTTTTGAAAACAAGTATTTTCCAGTTTTCTAATAGCTTTCCTAATTTATAGTGTGTAGAAAGAAAGGGTTGGAAGTTATCTAATCAATTTTGTGCATGAATACCTTTTCTCATACTCAATACATTTTTTACATTGTACAAAAGCCTTTCATCTCTCCCTTTCAGTTTCCTCTTGGTAATGTCTGAAGTAGCTGAACAATCATCTAAGCTTATGTACCTTCACCATCTTTGTTCAAACTTACTTGCAACGTTCTCTTCCAATACTGTATCATTTCTTGATTTTCCTTACCAGAACTAAACAAAAATAACCTTAAAAAGCCTCTTTGGGAATTATACTCCTTCCATGGCAAATAGTCTAATGTTTGGTTATCATTTTTCTTGTATTCAACTGAGAAGAATGTTCCCATTTATTTTGATTTCATTAGTCAACACTATTTTCTTTTCTTTTTTAATTTCATTTTTAACACAAAATATGGTTTAGACAATTTTCAGAAAGATTTTTTAACAACATAGAAATACTATTTAACTGGTCAGTGCTCTAGACTCAATATTTGAGAAAACATATATATACACACACATTTCAGGAAAGCAAGTGTAACTAGCAGTATTAGCACACTGAATTAATGAACTACACCTACCTAAATAATTCTCTCATTACTTTTAGTTCTGTAAGCCCTAGAGTTCCCTAGCCATTTATATAAATCACCACTACTGAAAATGAATATAGTGGTTTCACTGGTGCTCAACTCTAATAGAATTCAGCCCACATAGCAAAATCCTTTCACAATCTTAAGAGTGTCTGCTAGATGGAAAACAATCAGTCAATGATGAAGTGGAATTTGGCAGAGCTGTCTGGCCAGGCTGGCAAAACACTTATGATGTAAATCATGTCTGGCATAAAATATTGTACTTCTACAAACATCATTTTTATGCAATAATAAAATAACTCACCAGAGAGATTTTACACCAGTCAATATGGAATTGAGTACGAAATTTTTTATCACAGGTTATTACAGGCTCCATTTCTTGACTGCATCTGAGCTGATTTTGTGGGTTTTCCACTTCGCGTAAGCACGAAGAGAATGGAACATCTGCCCCAACCATAACATACACACTGCAGAAAGAGATGAGTGACAGACTGTCAGGATACCTCTCACAAATCCCCGAAGGACAATGACGTACTCTTCCAAACATTATCATTGTTCATGGTAACATTCAGCTGTGCTTTAAAGACTAAAATTACTTTTTAAAATTCTTTTTCTTGATAGTATACTTTATCTAAGCATATGAATAATAGACTGAAATCAAAAGGATTTTTCTAGCTACTTATTACAACTTATTCTGTTTTGCTGCATAATGTAAATGTTTGCTCACTATTAGAGTTGTCAATTTCTACGAAGTCATAGAGCTCCAAGTGTAAGTTCCTCATGTAAGTAAATCTGTACTACTTTTGAAAATTGCATTAAAAGAGTATAATTTTATCTTAAGGAAATCTTCAGTCTTGCTCAGCATAATATTTTAAAGAAGTTCTCCCCATGTTTTCAAATAAAATTCACGAGGACTAGTTATTTCTAAACCTAATACTAATATGAAGCTGCCAAAGCCCCCAGCTTTTCCCAAAAGATTCCATACTGTAGCTATGCACTGCCAACAAAATTTGCAGAATACTGAAAGCTGAATGTAAACTTAATACTTCATTTAGCATTACAGAACACAAAGTAAGAGCTTCTGCACTAACTGTATTACTCATTTTCATATTTAAATACGTAGAATGCTGCTGGAAAATACAGTCTGCTGCACCAGGTAATAATGTACCAATGGATCCTGAAACATAAATTAGGTCATGGTTGCCATTTGGTATATAAGGCATTATCTGACTAAATGTTTGAAATGTAGCCACTTGTTTTAAGTGGTTCTGCTATTACTCTGGCTAGTACAGAAGTCGCTTTCCTTCTTTAGATGTGCTCAGAAACTCCAGATGCACAAAATGGCTCTGAAACAACAATCTTTTCTGCACACATCTTGGATTTTGAACCCTCAGCCCTTTCTTAGATATTATTCAACACAACATATCTGAAAATAACTAGGCATCTTTATTTTTGCCAGGGAAAAGCACTACCATAACCATATTTTGAAAAGACTGAATCCTTGTTAGTTTCTAATTGAAGTATCATATTTCAGAACAGAATTTATGGTTATGAATCACAACTGGAAATAGTGCGTTCCTGCAGTTTATACTCAGTAACCTAAACTCCCCAAATACCCAGCTTATCACTTTCAGACGAAAGTCCACAGTGCTCCTGAAGCACGTAACTAAATTTCACTAAGTAAGAGTACAGCTACAAATGACACTGTTACATGCTGAACGCTCTTAGAAATCTAATTTCTTTGTAACCTATGATCTATCACACCTTGTTTCAAAATTTTGAGTTTTGTGAATTGGGAACTATTGAATACTCAAAAAGTATGCCAAACAACTGCTCAGAAGTAAGACTGGAATTACAAAATGAGCATATTTACTGCCAACTCTTTTATAATTAATGGAATTTATTAGTATTCCTTTGATTGTAAAATCAATATATAGGAACTGTCGCCTGTTGAAATGGTATCTAACATGATAAACCCATGGTATAATGGGGGCTCGGAACGTCAGTAAACTTCTAATGTCTAATACTAATCTGGATTTCCAAAACATAAAACAGCAATTGCAAAGTTTTCTAGAAAACCTGAAAAAATAGTAAGCTTTTCAAGTAAGGAGAAAAAGAGTAAAGCAAAAACATTAGACTGACAGATGTGCTTACCCCTCTTTCATGTCATTAATAGGAAGTGGAACTCTCCCTCCCCTGTCGAGGGCTGAAGTAATGTTTATAGCATTCAAGCGTTCTGGCTGCCACACATTTTTCACTGCTCCGAGAAAGTCGCCAAGAACTTCACTTGCTAACATTTCTTCTACGTTCATATTCCTTATGAAGAACTCCGCTTGATACGGTAGAGGAAAATCTAGTTGTGATGAAAAAGGAAGAGTTTTGCCTTAAACAAAGGCTCCATAACAAAGAATTTGAAGTAATGATTAATGTAATACCACTGTAAGATTGATACACCTTTCCAAAAACCTTGTATTTGAACGAGCTCATTTTGAACCTAATGCGATTATGTTTAATTATATAGTTAGTACTATCAGCTCTTACTTAAGCTGAAAACCATTGGCTATTTATAAAGCAATCGGGAGATGAAGGAGCGGACTAGAGGAAAAGAGTCTCAGCTGGTAAATCTTTATTAAACAGATAAAATTACATTCATGCTAATTTTGGGGTCAAAACTGATCTGCAGTGACAATGGATTCCAAGCTGCAATACTCTAGACTATAAATATATAAATATGATGAAGAGAACTAATTTTAAGGACACAAACTATTCAATTTTTTTTAATTGAAATGTCCATATATGCCATAATCTGTTGTTTTCTGAATCTGCCTATACAATTGTTCTCTGCATAAAGAACATGCAGAACTAAACAAACTAAACAACATGCAGAAAGAGAGTAAAATCCCTCATGTAAGGTCTATTTGAAAAGACGGGGAAAAAAATGAAAATAATTATTAAAAAAAAAGCAAACATGCTATTTTTTTTATGAATGACGAGTAATAGTCTTACCTGACAGGAATAATTTAGATAAAAATAACAAATTGAATTAAAAGAGGGAAAACTCTTACTTCCCCTTTATGCTCCTACATTTGGCTTGAACACCAGACAACTATTTTACATTAGTTTTTTAATCTTAAAAGAAGAGAAGCCCATAAGAAGTTTTTGCTTATTCAGTTCAAAACACAAGAAGCTATTTTCTGTACATACCTTCCGCTGACATTATATTAATGACCAAATTATGTCTTGCTGTCTCAAAGGTACGCCTGTTATATGCAGTGATCTAGAGTAAAAAAAAAAAAGATATTATTGCAAAACAACAATGCAAATATGAAAATCAGGTAAATGAAACATCAATGAAAATTAAATTGATAATTTAGAAATACTTATAACCTTTTAAATGCTTTGACTCCTTATTTTGAAATGTATGAACACGAATTCATTAATATAAAATTTGAAAGGTAAGATCAATTTATGTGATACAGTACTCCCTTCAAGTCAGGATATTGGAATTTTCTCAACCAGTCTATAGCCAAATACAATTATTCAAGGGATATATGTGAATAGAATATATTTTGGTCCAGATAAAAGTGTTTTTCCATACATGTGTATTCTTTCTTCCTGCTATCTTTGATTTAAGAACAACCATAAGCAAAGACTGGTTTCTCCATTTCCCCTTCCACCCTCCACCCCCTTCCACCAATACTGCAAGATCTACATTCATTGATAGCTCCTAGGGAACTAAACTAGATGGGAGATACTTAAAGGAAAGAGTAGTGTTAGGATCCCAGCAATTCTAATCTTTGGGATTGGGATTTCGTTTTAGCTCTAGCCCCACTGGAGTCATACTCCATTAATGGATTCACAAGCATTGCTCCAACACAAGCAGTTTTTAAAAAATCATGGAATCTGTAACCATAGGGGAACTGAAAACTAGTAGGTAGATGCAACATTCATGACTCTTATTTTTGGAAGCTTATGCCTGGGTTGTCAAGCATTGGAACAGGCTGCCCAGGGAAGTGGTTGAGTCACCATCCCTGGAGGTATTTAAAAGACGTGTAGATGTGGCACTTAGGGACATTGTTTAGTGGTGGATTTGACAGTGTTAGGTTAATGGTTGGACTCGATGACCTTAAAGGTCTTTTCCAACCTAAACGATTCTATGATTCTAGATCAAATCACATAAGGATACCAATCGTATGGTTTAAATGTATAGGATGCCTGAAATGCTCCCAAATGGTTACTCCTCAGTGGTGACTGTACTCGGAAGTTGTACTATGATTAAGTGCTCGTTCATAGAAATACAGAATGAGTCTGGATATCAGTATAATTACGTATTATTTTCTCTACTTTTTTTTTGCCTGAAAGGTGATAAATCTTTCATGAAACAAATTGAAAAAGACTAACTTTCTTCATAATTTTAGACTTTAGTTCATTCATTTCAGGGACAACGGAGAGGCATAGGAGTGGCAATAGTGACAGAACTATGTTGCTTTTCTCAGCAAACAGAGCTACAAAGCATTGTGATACTGATTATAAAATAAACAAAAGTAACAGATGTTGCACTTCCTCTAAGGGATTTAACTGAAAAAGAAACACGCTCTGGAATATCTTCTGCAGGTTCATTTAAGTGCAGAGGGAAAAGCTTACCTGAGACAATTGTAATATAACAATTTCATTATAAAATTAATAGAATAAATTCCTGAGATTCAGAATCCTCGATTCTGTTAATTTTTCAAAGGGTTGTTTCAACAGTAGTTTAAACATTAATACTTAGAAAACCTAACTCTCTGGTTGTACAAGAGAGTACAAGAGCTTGGACCATGCACCTGCACCAAGTAATAGTGACAGTGGTGGAGATTGCCTCTGTACTGAATATTCATTCAAACACAAACCGGCTTTGCCCAGCTTTCAAAGGAGCGTGAGCTCAAGGATGTTACCCGCTCTACTGCAGTGCTATACGCAACGTTAGGCTCTTCTAATCATGAGGTCTCCTCCAATTAATTGACCTACCCATGACATCACCTCAGGAATTACAACACGACGGAAGTTATATTCAGGCCAGGAATATGCAACCACTCCTCTCAGGTGGCACTAGGAAGTGTATCAAATGCAATCCGCCCTCCTCACATACTACAGAATTAATTTAAAAGCCCCATCTGAGAGAGGACTGCAATGAATTAATCTGTATGCTAGGCAAGACTTAGTTCAAATATAGGCTTGGGGTCATGCTTTAACGGAAGTCTTGATATAGATCCTAGAATCTAAAAGCATGTGCCATTTAAGAAAAGGGCCATTTTAAATAACAGTTTCCTCTACAGAAAGTTAAGTGGAGTCTGCAAGTACTTCTGCACATGATTAATTTTACAGATGTGATTAGTCCTGCT